TAATGGAAAAATGTTTGCTTGTTTCCTCTGGTGCTAAGCAAACACCCTACTACTGAGATACACCCACAGCCCTTATTCAAACTTTTTGACTGTTTTTGAATAGGGTTATTTTTTTTTGGTACTGGGGATAGAAATTGCGACCTTGTGCTTGCAAAGCAGGCAGCGGAACCACTGAGCTAAATCCCCAGTCCTAGGGTTCCTTTTTATATACATTTATGTTTAGGACAAAATGGACCAAGATTGCTTGACAGAAGTGCTCACAACCAGGAGTGGTAGTACAGGCCTGTAATCCTAGCACCCTGGGAGGCTGAGGCAAGAAGATTTAAAGTTTAAGCCCAGCCTGAGCAACTTAGTGAGACTGACTCAAGATGAAAAATAAAAACGTACTGGGGATACAGCTCAGTGGGAAGGTCTTGGGTTCAATCTCCAGTACTGGGGGGGAATAAAAAGGGCTAGAAACAATGCTGGTTCTTATTCATTTATGCAAATTATACAGTACCTTAACCATCACATTCTGTTTAAATACAAACTAAAACACTTTGAACTATATGGCACACTCAGATTATTTTGTAGAAATGTCAATAATAACGTAAGCAAAGGCACAGTCAAACAACATGGCATGGAAAAACTTCATGGTATAACACACCTAAGGCTTGACCACAAGAAGCTAAACATAAACTAGGGAAATATTCTGAGGGAATTACATTAAGTGAACTAGGAAACAAATGGAATTTAATACTATTAAGGTTTGACAGCATAATTTGTTCCACAGCACTAGATGGCAGTATTTAAACGAGTATACTGTGTGTAAGTGCTGATTATGGATTTGGGCTAATTTTAAAACCCATGAGTTCTGACAATACCACGATATCAATATTTTACGAGAAGTTTCTGCCAAGGCCTAAAAAAATGGAATTTTAGAAGTCTATCAGACCTGAAGGAATGACAAGATCAGCACTACCTGCATTTGAGGGCACACTCCCCTGAATATCCACTTGGATTTCTTAGGTCTACAGATCTACCACTGGTGCTGTTGAAAAGGTCAGAGCATCAATGGTTTGCTACACTAACCTTCTAACTTCCAAAGGGCAGTGCTTCATGATTCTTTTTTTTTTTTTTTTTTTTTGTGCTTCATGATTTTTTTTTTTTTTTTTTTTTTGAGACGGGGTCTCCCATGCAGTTCGGGCTGGCCTTGAATTCAGTTAGCCCAGGATGGCCTTGAACTTGCTGTGATCCTCCTGCTTCAGCCTCCCAAGTGCTGGGATTACATGTGTGTCCCACCACACCTGGACCTACCTGCTTTTTTTTTGTTTGGGGAATTGAAATCAGGACCTTGTACTTGCCAGGCAGGCGTGGCTCCAGTGAGCTAAATCCCTGGCCCATATGATTCTTAAAGTATTATTTTCTGGTCCTGGGGTTTCACAATACATACTGTAACTCTGAATTAGGAAGTATAAGAATCCCTAACCCCAAGATTCACAAAGGAAAGGGGAAGTGACAGGCCTAGTGAATATTCCTGACTGATAAAGTAGCATGAGTCTGCAAAGCTGGTTTTCTCTCTCTCTTTTCCTTTTCTTGTGCTACTGGGGATCAAAGTGTTTCTTTAAAGTTTATTTAAAATACGAAATTTGTAATAAAACTGTATTTAAAGTGTACTTCACCTTCAGGCCCCTAAATCCAAACAAATATCATGGGAATGTAGTATATATGGTTTAAATTATCATCTAAATACCTAAAAATTATTATGGATAATGTTGTAGTTTCTTTTCTTTTTTCCTTCCTTCCCTTCTCACCCTCCTCCTTTCTTTTATTTTGGTGGTACTGGGGATTAAACCCAGGGCATCCACATTGAGATACATCCCCAGCCCTTTTCTCATTTTTAATTTTGAGACAGGATTGCACTAAATTGCTCAGGCTGGGCTTGAACTTGTGATCCTTCTGTCCTAGCATCCCAGAGTGCTGGGATTACAGGCATGTGCCATCATGCCCGGCTGGCTGTTTCTTATTAAACTAAAACACACAATTATTGTGGGCATGTATTCCTAGAGAAATGAAAATTTAGATTCCATAAAAACCTGTAGAACAGTGGGGAAGGGAAATTGGATTCATCAGTGCATGTATGTATGTATTGAGATAGCACACCGAATCGGCTAATATGTATAACTAATACATGTTAACAAAAATCTACACACAAATATTTGTGGAAGCTTTACTTATAATAGCCACAAAACTGGAAACAACCCAAATGGCTTTTAATAACTGAATCGTCAAAATGCTGCTTCAACAGCTGGATGTGGTGGCACATGCCTATAATCTTAGCACTAGGGAGGCTGAGGCAGGAGGAATGCTGTATGTTTGAGACCAGCCTGGGCTACATAGTGAGTTCCAGAGCAGTCTGAACTTCATAGTGAGACCCTGTCTCCAAAACAAAAAAAAAAAAAAAAAAAAAAAAAAAAAAAAGAAAGAAAGAAAAAAAATCAACAAATTGTGGTTTTCTAATCTGAAAATCCAAAACCTGAAATGCTCCAAAGTCTAAATGCTTTCGAGCAATGACAATAAGTCCATATATGATGTCAAGTGACAGGTCACAATCACAACACAGGCATGTGAAAAATATTGTATTGGGACCAGGGATTTAGCTCAGTGGTACCACGCCTGCCTCACAAGCATGTGGTCCTGAATTTGAATCCTGGTACAAAAAAAACCCCAAAAAACAAACAAAAAAACTATATTCAGTCTATGTGCATAAGATATATATAAAAAATTAATTTTTGCTTTAGATTTGAATCCCACCCCCAAGATACCTCATTCTTTATACGCAAATACAGTGGACCTTCAAGTTGTGACTGGCCTTACATATAAACAATTTGGGTTATGACTGGAATTTTAGTTTTACCTTATGACTGAAGTCTTGAGTTGGGACCTAAATGCAGGCTACTTGTGCTTCCAAATAGTCTCAGATACAGATCTAACCCTTAAAGAGTTCTGGAAGGAACATTACAACATTGTTTCCTGTGTGGGGTTAACTAAGAAATCCTGGGCCACTGTCTCTCTAAGGACATGGTGAGATCTGCTTGTATAGGAGAGAGACTTTCAACTGACCAACCGGAGTTATGATCAGCTCTTGCAAAGGAACTGAATTCATAAATCAAGGGTCCACTGTATTCCAAACACTGAAAAAAAAAAAAAATCCAAAATCTGAAACACTTCTGGTCCCAAGCATTTCAGTTAAGAGGGTCCTCAATCTCTACTTCCATATCATCTAATACTTCTTAGCAATTACAAGGAACAAATACTGCGAGACACACAAAACAGTAATTTCCAAGAATACTGAGTGAAAAAAGATAATCTCAAAATGGTTTTCTATTTTGTATTCTCATTTATATAACAATCTTGAAATGATAACATAGAAACCTAACAAGGAAAATGGATTAGTGGATGTCAGGGCTTAAAGATGGTGCTGGGGGAAGAAGACAGAGAGGGCAAGACAGGGAAGTCAGTATGATTACAAAAAGGCAACCACGGTACTCGACCGTAGTTGTGAATATACAGAGCTATACATGAGACAGAAGAGCACAGAATGAAACACACACACACATACACACACACACGGAGGGAAAGTGAAGACGGTGTGGATTGTGTCAATACTCTGAATGTGATATTGTACTATATTTTGATATGTTATCAATGGAAAAATAGGGAATAAGGGTACATGGGATCTTTCTGTATTATTTCTTGTAACAATATAGAAAGTTGAATTAAAAAGCTTTGGGTTTTACTTGATATCTGCTGCTTTTCAGACCATCAATTACAAAGAAAACTATTTCAACAAATACTTACAATGCTAGATGTTAAAAGACACAGCACTGAACAAGGAGATAAAACTGCCTATCCATGCAGCTTTTATTCCGGTGAGCAAAAGATAGTGAATAAAGAAGGAAAACAAACATGTTAGCTGATGAGTTTGAAGGAGGAAATAGAGAAAGCAGGAGGATGAGGGCTAGGGAGAGTTGTTTTAAATAGGGTAGCTGGAGAGGACCTCAACTAAATAGGGGATGTTTGAGACCAGAAGAGGGAAAGTGGCAAGACATACCCGGGAGGAAAGTACTGCAGGCTAAGGGAATGGGAGCTAGGGCCTGTCCTAATGCGGGAGTGTCTGGTACAGTGAGGAAGTGAGAGAGAAAAGGAATCTGAGGCCGAGTGAGCAAGGCAAAGCAGTAGAAGATGAAGTCACAGGCACAGGATTTAGATCAGGTGGGGCCTTGGAGGCCACTATCATGACTGTGGCTTTTAATTGAGCATGACAGGATTCCACTGGAGGTCTTCCTCTTGGTGGTACTGTGGACTGAAGCTAGGAATGCTCTACTGCTGAGCTACAGCCCACCCCTTTTTACTTGGACAGGGTGGCCCGGGCTAGCCTCCAACTCTTGATCCTCTTGAGCCTTCCAGTCTCTGTTGTAGCTGGGATTACAGATGCACATCCTATGCCCAGCTCACTGGAAGGTTTTAAGCAGAGGAAAGAAACTTATGTTTTTATGAAGATTACCTTGGCCCCTGGGCTAAGAATAAGGATGGTAGCTGGGCGTGGTGGCGCATGCCTGTAATCCCAGCACTTGGGAGGCTGAGGCAGGAGGACTGCTGTGAGTTGGAGACCAGCCTGGGCTACATAGTAAGTTCCAGGTCAGTCTCAACTACACAGTGAGACCCTGTCTCAAAAAACCAAAAAACCAAAACAACAACAACAACAACAACAAGAAAAAAACAAGAATCAGGATGGTAGCAGCAAGGACAAAAGCTGGGATACCAGAGGGAGGCTACTGCAAAATCTAGATGAAAAAATTATGTATGTATACCAGGGAAATGACTTGAGTGGACGTCATTATGTTGCTATAATAAGACCTTGACAGATTAGTCAAACCTGTCCTGCAATTAAAACCCTTATAAAATGTTACTCTTTGTTTTGTTACTCTGGACAAAGCCAGGGCTTTAACTATACAAACCTTATCTTGTGACCCAGAGAATGTGTCTTCTAGAGTTTCAGTGCTTCCCAGATTGAAGAGCTGAGTGCTTGGCTGTAACCCAGGGCTGGATATATTTGAGTCCCCCATCTGCGCCTTTAAAAAGTAAAAAAAAAAAAAAAAAAAAAAAAAAAAAAAAAGGAGATAGTATATTACATACAAAAAAATTGCTATTACTTGGTTCATAACACAGAGTTTGAGGTTATTAAAAACGTTATGATAAAAAACAAGCAAAAAATCTCACAAAAAGTTTGCACTGAACTCCCATGTAAATAACTTACATAATAAAATTATTATAAAGCTGAGCACCTAATTTTAGACAAAGGGTTAACCATAATTGTTTTTTAGCCTTTGAAAGAAAAACGGTAGCTTTCCAATCCAGTGTCTGGTAAGTACTGTCTATGTCAAAACACATGACTAGAGCCAGGCCTGGGCCTGGTGGCACATACCTATAATCCCAGTACTTGGGAGGCTGATGCAGGAGGACTGCCATCAGTTTGAGGCCAGCCTGAACCATATAATGAGACCCTGTCTTAAAAACAAAAACAAAAAAAAAACCCAACAAACAAAAGCCCAGATGACTGGGAGAAAAGAAGAAATAAAAAGGAAGGCAAAAAAAGCAGCTCTAAACTTCAGAGACAGATTGATTTTCTTTTTTTTGGTACCGGGGATCGAACTCAGGACCTTGTGCTTGCAAGGCAGGCATGGTACCACTAAGCTAAACCCCTGGCCCCAGACTGATTTTCTTGATAACATACTAAAGATACACATAAAAAGATTTATGTTTGGCATAGGAATACGCCCTCAAATGTTAAATGAATGGAGGGGTTGGGGATTTAGCTCAGTGATTCTGGCACATGCCTCACAAGTGCAAGGACCAGAGTTCAATCCCCGGTACCCCCCACCCCTCAAAAAGTTAAATAAATGGGTAGTATGCATTTCTTCTATTCAAATTACTTAATCCTCACAATCAAAACACCATTTACTCAGTGTTACCCATTTCAGTAAGGGTGAAACAGTCTGAAAGTCTACGGATTATCTTAATCTTGTGACATCCCTATTTTTTACCAGCATCACACCAATCAGTACCAAATACATCACAGTGAATGTTTAGAATTGAATTACAGTGGTACCTCAGTTCACAAACTTAATTCTTTCTGCGATTCTGGTCATAAACCAAATTGGACAAGAACTGAATCAAGTTCGATGGTTAGGTTTAATGTTGACTTTACGGGGAAATTTGATTTGGTTCTAATCCAATTCAGTTTGTGATCAGAATTGTGGAAGGAATTACATTCATGAACTGAGGTATTACTGTATATTAGAGTAAACATGAACTCAAAATATTGTTCATAACAAGTTCTTGTTTTTCACAAGCTTAAAAATTTTTTGGTGGTGTTGGGAATTGAACATAGGGCCCTGTGGATGACAGGCAAGAACTCTAGCACAGATCTATAATCCTGGCCCACATGACCAGTTCTTAAAAGGTATAATGCTCAGAAGTATTAAGAGTTGGGAGTTCCACTACAAAAGTTCAAACTTGTCGTTTTCAGAGGGAGCCTGGATGATTTGAAGACCTGAAGTCATCTGGCAGTTACTGCTGGGCTGAGCTCCAGCCGATCCAGAAAACAGGCTCTCAGCTTGCTTGCTCGGTTGCGTTTGGCCTGATTTACTCACTACGCGGTGTTTGAGGGATTTGAGTTTACAATATTTAGCTATGAGATGGGCTTACATTAGGATCTACTTTAAGAATTTTATCTACTTTTGATTCTTGTGTAGGGCCTCTTCTGAGGTTTTATGTATTTTAATGATGACATTCAGTGTTTGTAACATTTAGAAGCACAACCTCAGACAATCTTGCTGGAGGGCAATTTTACAATATTTGGTAAAAACTGAAAAAATGTCAGAATCTTTGATCTAACAATTTCATTTCAAGCAATTTATCTTAGGAAAAAATTAATGGGGTATACAAAGAGCTACCACCAAGGCTGCACCACCAAGTTCTTAACACAAGGAATCAGAGAAATCTAGGGTATTGTTCATAGAAAGCACAGAATGAAAAATATACAGCTATTAATACCACAGTTCTTGAAAAAAAAAACACAAAACTTCATACTACCAAAAGAAATCTCATGGGGAATCTGAGGTGAACTGCCAACAAAAAAGCAGTTCTTTGGGGAAAAAGTTACAAAGAATATTTAATAAAAACAATGTATGCAAACATAGCACACACTTAGATAATTTCTGGAAGGCTATGTAACAAAGTATTAGCAGTGATTATTTGTAGGGTTTTTTTTTCCCTCCCTCCCTCCCTTCTTTCTTTCCTTTCCCCTGCCTTTTGTTTGAGTCAGGGTCTTGCTATAAAGTCTAGGCTGGCTTTGAATTCACTACATAAACTCAATCTAGCCATGAGCTTGCTATTCTCCCAAATTACTCACCACACTCAGCTTGTTTACTGTGATTTTTTTTTTTTTTGGTGCTGCAGATCAAACTTGGGTCTTTGCATTTGCAAGGCAGACGGTGGAACCACTGAGCTAAATCCTCAGCCCCTTTACTGTGATTTTTAAGCATAAAACTTTCTATAGTAACACGTACTGCATATATAATAAGAAAAAAATAACAGTGGTCTCATTGTTTTAAGCACAAAATACACTTGGCCTTAAAACAATTCTTTTTTGTAATTAAACTAAAACAAAACGGGCTGGGGATTTAGCTCAGTGGTTCCACTGCTTGCCTCGAAAGCAGAAGGACACGAGTTCGATCACTGGTACCACACAAACACACACACACACACAAATCCACACCAAAAAAATCCTAAAAACAAAAAACCTCCACTAAAATGCAGGATTACTGTATGTGTAGAAACAACTGGAAATAGGCCAACTTGGTGGCAGCATATGCCTATAAGCCTAGCACTATGGGAGGCTGCGCGGGAGGATGGCAAACTCAAGCCCAGCCCAGCAACATAGTGATTTGGTGAGACCCCGCCTCAAAATAGTTTAATTTTCAAACAGTGTTTATTCTAAATGTCCTACGTAGGAATCTTGACTTAAACTCATTATACTGTATACATCAAATGGGAGATTTGTTTGTTTGTTTTGTTTTTTGGTACTGGGGATTGAACTAGGGACCTTCCACTTACAAGGTAGGTGACAACACCACTGAGCTAAATCCATACTGTATTAACAAAAATAAGAGGGCTGGGGATTTAGCTCAGTGGTTCCACTGTCTGCCTCACAAACACAAGGACCTGAGTTCAATCCCCAGTACAAAAAAAACCCAAAAAACAATAACAAAAAAAAAAGAAAGCAGGGCCAGGGATTTAGCTCAGTGGTGCTGCCACCTGCCTCACAAGCTTGACCAGGTCCTGAGTTTAATCTCCAGTACAAAACAAACAAACAAACAAACAAACAAAACCCCTACACTTTATAG